AACAGAACAACTAATCATTGCTTCTTTAGGTTCAAATTGACAGTATCTTCTGTTACTGTATTGGAGAACTCATTTCCATAACATTACGTTTTATTGAAAGGGAAATAACCGTTTTAAATCAAGTAGTGATAGAGAGTTAACCATAAGGAGTATACAGGATTGCAATAAAAGCACTATTATACAACTATAACTTCACCTACAGTTTATATTTTTTAATTTACTATGTACTAAGTACACAGAAATAACAGCTTCCAGAAACAGAGCTCTGAAGAAACATCTATTACAATTTCCTGCATGGATATCCATATACACTAAAGTGACAGGATTTGCATTATATTTTGACATACAGAACAGTACAAGCAAAACCTGAAGTCAGAGCTACTGTGGACCTACTATTACTTTTTTTTTTTTTTTAAATGCAAACACCCCAAAATAATATTTTATTTATATAGACTGTATGTTCCATGCTATCTTATAAAAATGATTAAGGACAACATCTCACCTTTATACAATACTTTGAATTAATTATCTTAACTTTTTTTAGAAGAATTTGCAAATTACTCTGGGAAAACCCTGCCTTACTGTAAGCACAGCCAGAGGCTAATAGTCCACATTTTTTTTTCCACAAGTAAGTCCACACTTATTGTTCACTAACTTTTTTTGTAAAATATTTTACTGTTTATATCTTTCAGTTCTATGCTATTTTTATTCATAACTTATACAGTGAATGCAGAAAGCTTCGCCCTTTTTCTTTTCCTCAGTTACCGAGGACTGCACCTCTTTTGCACTGACAACACTACAGCCTTTCAACCATTCTCATACTTCTCTCATTCTATTATTTTGATCTATCAGTTTGACTGAACAATTGAATTATTTCTACATGCATGTAAATCCGAGATTTCACGCTGTTTTACATAGGTCTGGCCCAATGTTTCTTAATGCAGTGAAAATCACTTACTTAGACCTTAATCAGGAATGTTTCGTAATTAACAAAAAACAAAACCCAAAAAAACCCAAAATGAAACAAAGAGGATTATTGATTTACGACGGGCAACTAGTGTCAGACCAACCTTCCCAGCATCAATGTCATTTTTCAATATCTTAAGTTTTTATAGTCAGACTACAAAACAAGATGACAATTCTGGTTGAGCTGACCAATGATTAAGAATATATAGGATATACATCTGTTCTAACAGTACTAGAAGTATGACCAGCTTTTAATTTTTCCTGTCCTAGGTGACCTAATGAAGGAAGTGTCTACTCTAATTGGTTCCTCTTAGTCATGTATCAGATTAGTTGCAATAGCTAAAATTACTTCTTTCATGATGCTTCCATAGAAAAGCACTTTATAACTTGTCACATATTGTTTAAGATAGATCAAAGTTGATATGTTGGTAAGATGACTTTTCTATTGTTTAAAAATCATCCATTAATTCTGTAAGTGTGGTTGTCACTACTTAACACTATTTTCTTAACATCGTGTGTGGTTAATGTAATGCCCAGCCATCTCACTATATGAACAAATTTGGGAACTGAATAAACAATGGATGTCCCAAATTTTATCTGAGCAAATCAGATAAAACAATTGAGTCCTCAGTTAGTTACAACCATTTGCCCTTAAATTTTGGCATACAGTCTTGGAGCACTCCACTGTTAGAATCGTGAGAATACAATTGCTACGTCCCCACTCCTCTCTATAGTTAGTTAAGCAAAACACTTTGTGTTTTTATCCTTCTTGCTGCTGCTCACTATGTGTCTTACACTAGCATTGGAAATACTTTTTGGGAGGGAATTTTATGGTATTGAGAATCTTCATCATAAAGAAACCTTAAAACTCTGAATATGCCACCCAGAAAGAAAGACTAATCCCTTCTGGTGCAGTAGCATATGTTACAGTCATTTAGAAGCTTTGGTTGTATCAGAATGAAGGAGACCATGTCCTTGGTGGGACTGGCCAATATAAACACCTTATATAAATATATAGACAGATTTTTAAAGACCTTTTAAACCATCAGGAGCTGCATCACAAACCCAGCTTTTGTGATTTCCCGCTGTCAAGTTTAACCAAAATCCTTTTGTAGAAATCTGTTCTTTAGTAGGTCTGGCTGTTATGGAGTTAATTTTCTTCATAGCAGCCCATATGGTGCTATGTTTTGGATTTGTGACCAAAACATTGTTGATAAGACACCAACATTTTAGCTATTGCTGAACAGTACTTACACAGCATCAAGGCCTTTTCTTTTTTCCCCGCTCTACCGCCTCAGCAAGTAGGCTGGGGGTGTGCAATAAGCTAGGAGAGGAAACAACCAGGACAGCTGACCCAAACTGACCAAAATAGATATTCCATGCTATGTAACATCATGCTCACTAATAAGAAAGGAGGGGAGGTGGGTTTTGGGTGGGTGGCCATTGCTTGAAATCTGGCTGGACATTGGTGTACATGTGGAAGGTGGCAAGTGACTGCCTTTGCATCACTTGATTTGTTTTCTTTCTTTCCTTCTTCATCTCCTTTCCTTTGCTTTTAAACTATCTCAACCCATAAGTTTTCTTGCTTTTGCTCTTCCTATTCTCTCCCCCATCCCATGGAGAGGATAGAGGAGAAGATAGGCTGTGTGCTGCTTAGCTGAGAGCTGGGGTCAACCCATCACACAAGTGTCATTTTTTGTGCCTCTTTTTGCTGATGCACTGTTTAGAAAACATGGTTATCTCATTGTAAGGCTCTATGTTATGCTACATTACCAACACCAAAGAGGAAGATGATGTACTAAAGTGCTGTTCCGGCAATGCTAATTGTCTCATTTTGACCTGGAGAAATGCATCAAAGGTATTTGAGCTGTTGGTCCACAATTAATTATTCTTGAGCCACCAGAGGGTCTAATATGACTGACAGCGGCTTGTGCTGGTATATAGTAGCTCTTGGGTGACTGGAATTCTCAGGTGCAGCAGAAAGCCTCCTTAAGCTGATGTAGTTGTGTCATTCAGCTGTGTACTTCACCTACCCCAGTCTCATCCCATGGTCCAATTGTTTAATGTCACCTGCTGCCTGGAGAGCCAAGGTAAAGCTGTGAAGTATATGTTGCAATTAGAGTGTATATTGGAATTCTTTCTCACATTAAGATCTTTGGTCCTTGACTTGTATTATAAAGCTACTGTAATATATCTTTTGAAGGAAATTTTATTTGATGGAGAAATTATGAAACTCCTGAGATCTCCATCTGTTTTTAAGTCTTCTTTGATTATGCCTCAGTTCCTCCCCATTCCCCAGTTTATTACCTTTTAGAGGAGGAGGAGACCCTTTAAATATTAAAAATTCCTTCTCTAGGGGATTTTTATCTCAATATCTGTTCTTTTACAGCTGTTCTGGCTGAAGAAGAGGAGGAAATGGGTCTTATTCCATTTTCATGAATGTATGTTAATTCATTAATCCTCTTTGTATCTATTGCTGAGGAATCTTGGCGTATAAAACTGCATCATTTGATGTGGAAGAAATTCAGTACTTTTTTTATACTGAATACAATAAGAATGACATTGTATGTGGAATAATATAGTTGCATACAAACTGAATAATGCAATCATTTAGTGAATGAATCTTTTATGTCCCTTTCTGGATTCAACTTAAAAGATGATCCACGTGAAAGTTATTTCAGAAACTTATATCAGAAATTTTAGTTTAAGTAAATACACTATAGAGAAGAATAGAGAAGAAGAAAGTATAAGTAATGAATAGAAATGCATTATTATTGCTACAGGAAAATAAAACTACTAGCAATTCTCTATTTCTTGTCTTAAAATATGCTGATACTAACTTTTCAATTCAGCAGAGCCCATTCTGTATTCATTTTTTTTGAGCACAAAATTATGTTACTATCAAAAATGCCAAAGAACAGTCTTCTAATGAAAAAAGTACTGAAGACATTATCTGTGCATTAAATAACATAAAAATGAACATTTTAGTATGATCGCTTCCTGTAATGTTGACAACATAGGTGAACTATGTTGAGAAGGTAACTGAGGTCTGAAAAAGATCAAATCCAAGGTCTAAAATGACACCTTGCCATTAAGTTTGTACAGTATTTTTTTCTATAGTTCGTAACTGAATCCACATAAGTTAAATTTTTCAATGTTGGGCTTTCTCTGAAAGAGTGAGTCTGCACTGATCTCAGTGATTTGCTGTGTCACAGTCCATTTAAAACAAAATGGCATTGGTCTGTGACGATGAGAAAAGTATAGGTATTGCAGGACAAAAATAAACACAAATGAATCAAGAAAACAAAAGCAAACAACAAACAAACAAACCCCTAGAAAAACACACATCCCTTACACGCTTCTGGGATGGGATTCAGCTGGAAATGCAGACATCTAAATATGGGTGTCTGCTTCACCACTAATGCAGCCTAGCTATGGTCAGTGGTACCCATAGGGTTGTTCAGTTCACCCAAAGCGGACATCTACAGGATGGGCAGCTAAATCACTCTCTGGGTTGTTCTGATGGCATCAGCAAGGATTCTAGCACCTTTGGTGGGTGCTTAGATGCTTATCTCATACCATATATAGACAACTACATTTAGGCATCTTAATATTAATCTGAATTCTATGCTTTGCTTTAACATTTTACTAGTTTAATATTAATCACAAACATGCTGGTAGACACTAGAAGAAGGAGGAAAAAAGCCAGTATTTCTTCAATTTTTTTTAACCATCCCCCAATTTCTCTGACAGTCTGAATGTTCCTTAAGGACAATATTCATGCTGTGTAGTCTTAGTGTCCCTATTTAGTATACTGAAAACAAACAGCTTTTAAATGATAAAACCATTCCTCTTTCCCACTGCCTATAGCAATACAAATAAATAAATAAGCCAGTGACTAGAAAGCACAATTTTAAAACTCTTGACAGTTGTATGGATTAAGTGGAGGTTTAGAACTCACAATAGAATTGCTTTAGGAATTTCAGAAAGAAAGCTTAGCAGTCATTTTAATTAAAAAAATATTCTCTACTAACCAGGTGTAGATCAACACATGTAGAATTGTGTTCACAAGCGTTGATCACGCAGTCATCAATGTCTTGGTCACATTTCAGTCCTGCATATCCTGGGTTGCACAAACAATAGAAGCCATCGACAACTGTAACAGAGACAATATTTTAGTACTGAGAGTGTTTTAGAATTACAACTGTATATATAAAATTAAGTTACGGTTATGACTACTATCTGGAAAAGATTTAGATGGGTTTTACCTAAAAGGTGTTGATATGTTAAAAATTTCAAATAAATTATATGCAATATCTCAAAACAACTTTTTAATATGAAGGCAGATTAATGTGTTTTACTGAAATGATTCAAATATCTTGATATAAGAATTAGAAATCAATGATCCATTACTAGCTTCTGAAAAAGTGATGGCATCTTATAAGCTAATGAGTAATTTTTCATCACAAAATTGCACACAAAGTACAAAACATTTTATCTTTGATATTGCGCCTAAATGAGATGGGGCAGTTAAACATTGTTTGGTTCGTTGGGGGTTTTTTTGGTAAGGAATGCCTCATATTATACCACTATATTAAAGGAAAATTTGCTTGAGTTGAATTTGGCGCCTCAACCTATGACATATTTCTAGGCTTCATTTTAATCTTAACAAGCTAATGATAAGAATCCTCTCCCTTTTTCATCATTAATAATCCAAACGGAGAGGAATCTTTAGAGTGCTACGTCCATATAGGGAGCTTATGACAGCAGTAATTGCACTTCTTGCAGCTCTGCATTTATTCTAACCACAAAGAGGTTCCTGGATTCTTCATTATTGCTGAGATTTACCATAGAATCTATTCTGCCATTGTGTCTGTACACATAGCTGCTATTGTATTCATTAAAGTCCTTCAGAGCAAGAGCATTATTCATCTGCTAAGAGCTGCCTAGTTTCCTCAGGATTCCAGCTTTCTTCAGCCAGTGCACATAGCGCAGAGGAACTGAGAGGTCCACATGATGCAACTCAAGTCCAGAGGCACCACAAAGACAAGCTATCCCCAAAAGATCTGGCACTTTGTGAGCATGAAGGTCTTTACTGCACCTCATCTAAATGCCAGTTCGAAATATCTCTGAAGCAATGTAAAGTACACAGAAAACTTCTGTAAATTTATTTTAGGAAATAGTCTTTACTAGATACAATATGAAGCTGTTCATCTTATTCCCATGTATGAAAAGTTAGAATTCTTAAAGGTTATTGAAACCATTTTTTTTTTTTTTTAAATTAGGACAGTTTTAGGCCATGATATATTTAGTAATTTGGGGTCAATTCTTTAAGATATCATCTGAAACCAGTCAGCTGATTAGATCTTCTGATAATACATGTAAAAATTTTGAATTTCAGGAGATTCTCAAATCATCATTCTCATTTTAAAAGGGATGTGGGGAAACAGGAGAGATATGTAGCAGAAAACAAACATGGTTGCTTAGTGCTTAAAGTGGGGAACCTATGAGGAAAAGCTGAGTCAGATGGGCTTGCTTTGTATTAGTCCCTTCAGGGAATGGTTAATAATTAGAGGGCTATATAACAGTAACTTCAAGAGCAATTGTACAAATGGCAGAACTGAATTCCTCTTAGTAGTGTTAGATGATATAATACCAAAAATGGCCAAAAGATACAGCTTTAAAGACTCAGATAGGATTCGGGGGCGGGGGGGGCAACACTACAAGAGTAGTGCATCAGTAGAATAGGCTGTCCCAAAGAGTTTGTGGAATTTCTGTCCACCCTTAAAGGCTTTTGAAACTCTGCTAGAAAAATCCCTGACTGACCTGTTCTAGCACTGTTGACAGTCCAGCTTCATGTGCATTTGACTACATGACCTCCAAACATCATTCTTCTTTCCAGCCAGCATTATAAGATTCTCTGAAAACTACCACTTTTACTTTTTTTTTTACCAAGCATAGAAAGTGTCTGATAGGTGATAATAGCCCCATAAAACTTTCCAGTAAGTTCTCCATACATAATGGGTTCTACTAAACTTAGCCTGCCAAGCCAGACAGAATACAGTAATTCATCATCAAGTTGCTTCTAAAACCCTTAAGTATATCTATCAGTGAAAGTGTAAGTTACGCAGTTACGTGATAGAAGGTGCTTAATAGTAAGCAGACACTTCATTTTGCATCAGTTTGATATTTAACGCAGTTTTTGGACTTGTTAGAATTATGCTATTATAGTAACTGCTCCATGAGCTCCTTTTCCGCACCTGAACATTGTCTCATTGAATGCACAGTGTAAGATGTGCTTGGCTAATTTAGGTATCAACAGAGACAGCACAAATCTCATTAAAATTTCTCATTAGCTGCAATTCTGACCCCCTGAACACACAAACCCCAGTGCCAGGAATTGAGGCATTTTGGCAAAAATAATCCTCCTGGTACTGACTGTGGAGCTTCAGACAAGCTAAATTTCAGTAAATTATCCACTATTCTCCCTAGAGCAGCTCAGTAGCTACAGACACTTCAACAGAAACACTACTCTACATTAAAGTGAGTAACCAGACTGAACTCACTGTCATAACAGTATCCATGGAGGCAAGGGTTAGAACTGCACTCATTGACATTGATCTCACAGCGTGGACCTGCAAAGCCCTTCACACACTGGCACTGGAATCCAAGGGGAAAAACATCCAAATTCATTTCTTCTATGCACACAGCTCCATTCTCACAGGGATTGCTGGCCTCACAAGGCCTAAACTCACAGTTCAAACCTGAAAAGGAAAATGGCAAAGCTGTCAGTATTTAACTAATGAACATATCCCTGCAGCTGCTGCCTATTCTGAGCTGTATTTTCTTTACATCCCTGGTTAAAAATGAGTTGGAGGGTCTCAGAGGTACATATATGTATATTGACATACAGAAACAGACAATTTTATCTGTTTTGTTTATATAATGACATTGCATTTTAAAATCATAATAACGATCTCAATATATTTTAGTTTTCCTGTTTACCTTTGTCCTCTAAAATAGCTCCAAAAGTCTCTTTAAAAGTTATTAATGAATTTTGTTTTAAAGCTTCCTGTTATTTCTTCTTGATACCCTGTTGTCACTGGTACCATATGAGCTGTTTATACATTAACCCATAATCCTGAACATGAATGAAATGCAAGTAACTTTGTATACTTGTTCTGCTTGCAATTTGTGACTACACACCAATTAATTTACTGAAATTATTTAAATTATTTTACTGAAATTATGTATGTATTCAATAATGAGTGACTGCCTCCATTGTTTATAAAAATTCCATACAAAATCTCACATGCTCCTTTCTACGCTTCATTAACAAACACTCTAGTGTATAATAGATTACATACATTTATCTGGGCTAATCAAGGAACTGTGTGATGGTGATCTTAGGTCACAGATGCCCTCATTTAAATCTTTAATTTGCAATAAATAAATCAAAAAAAAGATTAAAAGACCCTTTAAAATGAGTCTTACTTTGTTAGAACATAAGCAAGACTGATTCATGTTTTTCAGTAGCAAAACTCAAAATGATGAGGGCAGAGAGAGCAGAGATCAAATGGGTTTGGGTTTGTAAAGCTCCCTCCCTTTTCCCTTAGTACTGCTTAAGGCGAGTCTGTTCATTCAGGCTTAGTTTCAGAGGAAGCTCCATAGCTTTTGGGGCTGCAACAAACTGCGCACAAGTCCCTCCGAGCCCCTTTGAAGCCCATCTGTCTTTCTGTGACTGTTGAGGCTGGGCTGTGTTTATGCTATGCTTTCTAGAGGAGCTGCCCAGGGTTTCCTGTCCTCCAGGCCCTCTGCTCACTTCCCCAGTGCCCTTGCCTCAGCCCTGGGTTGCCCAGAGGTTCCTTCCTGGAGCAGCTTCTACCTGGCCCAACAACCTCCCTCTTCCTTAGGCTTTAATCTTAACCTAGTGATGGGCAAGTGACACTGCAACATAAAGCACCTCAGTAGTCATGTGGAAAATCAAAGCCATACAGCTAGGCTGTGGTGGGTTCACCTTGGCTGGCTGCCAGATGCCCACCCAGTCACTCTCTCACTCCCCCTCAACAGGGTGGATGGAGAAAATAAAGTAGAAAACCTTGCAGGTCAAGCTAAAGATAGGGGACATCACCAGGGGCAAAACAGACTTGAGGAAAACTGATCATATTCATTGCCAATTAAAATTAGACTAGGACGGTGAGAAACAAACACAAAACTACCTTCCTTCATCTGCCTGTTCTTCCCAGGCTCAACTTTACTCCTTCACTCCAGACTCCTCTACCTCCTCCCCACCCCTGAGCAGCACAGGGGATGGGAAATAGGGGATGGGAAATGGGGGTTGTGGTCAGTCCATAACAGTTCTCCTCTGCCCCTCCCTCCTCACACTCTTCCCCTGCTCCAGTGCATACCCCCCAAGGGCCATAGTTGCTGCCAGGAGCCTGTTCCAGAGACTGGTCCTGTACCAGGAGCATTTCCTCTTCCTCTCCCCTGGGTGTTCACAGGATTGTTACTCTCACCCTTTTTTCCACCACACTCTGCTGTGTGGTGTTTTGCCCTTCCCTAAATGTTTTCCCCTGAGGTGCCCCCACCTTGGCTGTGGGGCTCAGCTGTGCCCTGTGGTGGGTGGGTTGGAGCTGGCTGGAACCGGCTGTGGCCGGCACAGGGCAGCCCCTGCCTCTCCTCACAGGGGCTGCCCTGCGGCCCCCGCTGCCAGCGCCTGGGCACCTGCAGGCAGCACACGAGGTAAGCCGTGTTCATGAGATGGATAATAATACTGAGAATTTTCAATTTCTTCTCGGGCTCAAAATTTCAGACAGCGATTCCTGGCAAAGAATCAACCAGTGTTACAAGTCACCTATAGTATATGGCAGCTTTAAATTTATAGACCAGTTGCTAACTTACAGAACTGGGAATTCATACAGGTTTTTTGGATATAATTTTTAGGAAACTGAATCAGTTCAGTGGTTAGCTTATTTTTGAATATTATGATTTCAGAACAAGACTTAAAGTACAGCGTAGTGGTTGAGATCAAGCTGCAGTGCCACTTAGTGCTATTCTGTGACTTATTTGAAAGCTTAAAATTCCTTAAATTTGTAGGATATGGTGAAAGGATGAAAAACACTCACTGGATAACCTCAACATTAAGGTGTCCATGAAACTGAATGTTAGCAAAAGCAACAAGTAGGAACAGAATTGAGGTAAAAAACCCCACAACAACCCTCTGACCCCAGTAGTCATGCTGACAGAGGAGAGAAAGAGCAGCACAAGTTGTTCCCTGTCTTTATGTCACCAGTGGTCTCTCTGGTGCAGGGTGATCCTGCCATAGGCAGCTGGCAGTCTCAGATCTGGAATTCATGAAATTGCATAGCAAATGCTGCCATATGGCACATTGAGATTTTGCCCTGAAGTTTTCATCTTTATATCACAACAGCTTGACATGAGTGACTACCCTGCTGGTTCCTAAAGTGGAGTTCACACCCACACGAATAAGCTTAACACATGGCTCACAATTATAAGTGGAACTGTCAGATGACCCAGTAATACAGTACTTGTTTTTCTTCTGCGTTGATGGAAGAACCTTTAAACAGATTTGTCCATCCTCTTACATGCCAAGTGTTTGGGGGTGGGGGTGGTAGACATTTCTTGCAGATAAAGCAAAAGTGCATCAGTTTTCCCCTACTGTAGTATTCTTCTCCAAAGCCAGATACCGCCACTTTTTGGAAGAGAGCATAACAAGAGTTTTGGTGAACAATTGGAAAATAAAGAGGCAATAAGAAACAGTGAGGACATAGAACTTAGAAGGCACAGGCTTATATTATTTCCAAATATTTGTGCAGTATAAATAGGACTGTGCACAATTATGTCATGTGAATGCTAATGGATTTTAAATTTTTAATCTTAGTATCTTGTGGCAAAGTTTCATGAGTTAACTATGTATTTCAGAAAAGTATTACCTTTTTTTTTTTTTTTTAAACTCTCAATATACTCCCAGACCCCTGGCTTCAATGTATGATTTTTATTTCAAACATTTTGCTCTGCTGATTGAATAATATATCGGGTTTCTTCTGCCTTTTCTTTCTATATTGTGTGTAGAAAATTTATCATTGACCAAAGAGTAACTGAAGAACTTTCATATGGTTTCAGTCCCTCCAAAAAACAGTGATCTTCAAAGAACCATGGATAAAAATGTATTTTTATTATTCAGAAATTCATAATTTTTTTTAAGCATCAGCTGAAAATGATTCATACTGTCTCAAAAACAATTTCTGAGAAGAATTTTGGAAATAGTTGAAACGTAAAAGATTCAATGTGAACAGACTCAGAAGGGAACGTATAGGGGTAACCTGCACTCTGTGGTCTTGGTTGCTTACATAAATTTTAACACATATTGACATATTTATCACCTCAAATCCTCACAATGATAAGGTGGTGTTCATATGTTTGTTTTGATTTTTTTTATGAATACTTGGATAGATGTCTTCCACTGTGTGCTCTGAGAAAAGGAGCCTGAATTTGTCTTTTGTATTCACTCATGTTAAGTAAGCGCCAGGCTGCTGGTAGGTCCTCCTGAAACTCTCTTTGCCAGGCTGAACAAGCCCAGCCCCACCATTGGTGGAAAAACAGTGTGAAAGAGGCATTGAGTATCTCAGACTTTTTCCATGTCCTTTGTCAATTCAGCAATATGATCTCATTATTTCCCATATTTCTTTGTTACTTGTAGACCTATAGAACTCTTTCTTGTTGCCCTTCAGTTGCCTTGATAGTTTTAGCTCCATTTGCCCTTTAGCTTTCCTAATTCTGTTCACGTGTGACTGGATGCCTTCTGGATAGGTAGCTCACCATTCCATCTACCTTCTGTGCACTTCATTTTCTCTTTAAGCTCAGTCAGGAGTTCTGTATTTGTCCATTTTTCTGCCACATCTGGTTGAGTGCACCTTGGAAAGAACTGTGCTGTGAGGCACTGTCCTTCAAGATAAATCAGTGGGTCCAAGATAAATCAGTTTTCCTTTCAGTGCAGTCTTAGGACTATAAACTCCATCACCTCATTGTCACCAAAGCTGGTTTTGACCTTTACATCCCAAACCACCTCTTGCTTATTCATGAACAGAGAATCCAGATACATACCTCCCCTAGCTGCTTCACCCCACCATTTTTTAAAAAAAACTCTACTCAACGTGGTCCAAAAATCTGCTGGATTACTTGTGTCTTTCCATGCTGTCTTTCCAGCAAAAGTCAGGGTGATAATATCCCAATGAGAATTAGGGTCTGTGTTCATGAGTCTTTTTCCAGTTTCCTAAAGAAGACTTCATAAACTTTTCTGGATCAAGATGTCTGTAGCAGATACCCACCACAATGTTTGTTTAACCAGTTCCCTTTTCATTCTGCCCCATTGACTTGAGCAGTGCATCACCATCACCCATTCCATAGCAAAGCTCCATGCATTCAAGACACTGCTTTGTATGAAGTTCAGCCCAGCATCCTCATCTTTGTTGCCTGTGTTTCCAGAAAGTTTGCATCCATCCATTGCAGCATACTAGTAATGTGAGCTATCTTAGCGTGTATGTTATTATTCCTAGAGAAGGCTGTAGTGCAATATTTGCTGACATGCAAATAAACCTCCTCAGAGATCAGAGCTGGTCAACAGCTGCCACTCTCCCTCACAGAAGGGAATCTTGATCTATTTTGACAATTGTTTCATTGTAGTGGTACTGATGACGGTGTATGTGTCAGAGTCAGACAGCTTACATGCCTCTCCGGATGAAAC